CACCCGGGAACACCCTCACCTCGAGTTACCCACCTCGGGACTCCAACCTAGGGACTCCCATTCAGGGATACCCACCCAGGGACACTCCACAAGGCACTGCACAGGCTCCTTTCCCCTGGCTGAATCCTATCGCTGAGCCCCGGCGGGTTACTGGTGTCTGTGAGCAGAGGACAGGGCCAGGCCTTGGGACAGCAGCTGTGGGGGCCTTAGACCACCATGAGGCACCACCAGTGGTTTCTTTGGTGTCTTACTAGATAGGAAATCTGAGCAGAAGCTCAGCACATCACTGTTCCCATGACAGTGGAAGGTGTGTCCAAGCAAAGGTGATGACCAAGGAGGTACCAGGTGGAACTCTCACCATGCCATGGCCATCAGGCTTGGCAAGGTCTCTGGAAGCCCTTCTGGGCTACCCCTGCTCTCCCTGTGCCTCCCCACCACCACAGCAGAGCCCAAGGTCACCTTTTGAATTTTGGGGACCAAATCTCTCTGTTTGCATGCAAGCCTGCTGCTGGTCTGGGATGTGGCTCCCATGGGATTTCCCCACCATAGCTCTGTGCCCTCCTGAGATGCAGGGCTAGGTCACACCATCACCCTCTGCCCAGAGGGTGCTCAGCTGAGCCCAGAGGGGATGTGTCCCTCATGGACACCCTGGAATGGTATCTTCATCAGTGGGAACGACAGAGAGAAGAGCTGCTCTGAGCACCGATGGCACATCCCAGCTCCTGCAATGGAGAAGTTCCACTACGGGAAGCCAAGATGACCCTGTCCAGCAGCCAGCCCAGAGGCCTGTCAGCAGAGATCCCTGTCTTGGGAATGTCCTCTTGGAGATGTGCTTTTTGGAATGTCCATTGCCCCTCCATTGCTCATCCTTGCCAAGCCAAGCCCCACACAAATGTGTGCATTCCCCAGGGACCTGTGTGCTGGTGGGCACAACACCCCGAGGTCACCAGATCCCGCTCCATATCACCCTGGTGTAGGAGTTGGCCTTGGGGCAGCTCCCCCCTGCTAGGCTCCACCACCTCTGCAGGCTGTGCTGTGGCTCCCCTCCCTCCCCTCTTTGATGTTCACAGGGTAAAAGATGGGGATCCTTTCCTTTTGAGAAAAGATGCAAAAACTATTCTTTTATGGCCAGTTTGCGTGGTGCAATAAAGGATTAAATTGGAAAAAAAAAAAAAAGGAGAATTCCTTAAAATATTTGTTTAGTTGCTGCTGAATCTACCATGTCCTGAGTGAAACTGCGCCTCAACCTTCTTTTGCTCCATTAATGCCAACAGAGCTAGGGCGGTGAAGCACAAGTGAGGGGTGGGAGCCTTGGATGCACATGCCACACACTGCAGGGTCACACCGGGCAGGGAGCATCCCCTGGCCCCTCCAGTCCTCTCACACCAGGCTGACTTCTGCCCACTCCAAAGCAGGGTCATCACCAGTCAGGGTTCATCCTGCCTGCTCTCCTCCCTGCGCAGCCAGTTCCTGGTGGGTGACACTGCAGACCCCCCCTGGACACCCCCAATGGTCTGTGTCAGCCACTGTGCCCCAACAGGATTATCCTTCCAAGCAGTCTACTTCTGCTCTCACCTTCTGGAAAAAGCTGCCAAATTGAGACAACCAGGAAACAGCCATGATCCCCCTCAGGCCCTCCCACCCCCCTGTGCTCCCTGGACTGGTAGTGTGGAAGGAGCTTTGGAAAAATCCCACTGGGTGTCTGAGTGCAGCATGAGGGCAACCTAAATCCCTGGGCAAGCCCAGCCTGGCACAGGAGCCAGGGAGCTCCCAACTGATGGGGAATGAGGAGCCTCATGGGGCCAGGGCAGGGGCTGTGGGGCATCTCCCTGCCCATTCCCACTGTAAGCTTGTCCAGGCTGAGCCCTGCCCAGGCCCACTGACATGATAATACTATTAAACTTCAGCAATTTCAACAACAATCAGCCAGCAAGAGCCTGAGGGGGGATGCTGGAAATCCAGGGGAAGCTGGAACTCCCAGAGGGATGCTGGGAACCCCAGGGGGATGCTGGAGTCCCCAGGCAGCCTCCCAGGGTACTGACCCGTCTCAGTCAGGATTCTCTCTACCCTCTGCCCATCCTGTGATATGTAAATCTTCATTTTTAGCAAGGAAAAAAATGGATTTGTGGTGGATTTGTGGTGGGCTGTGCTGGCTGTTTGCTGCCGCCCTGCCCTTGGGGCCACTGCATCCAGCAGTGGGTCCTGCTCCCTGCTCAGGGCCAGTGGACCCCTGCAGGCTGGAATTTCCCCAGTAGGACTGGGATTCCCCTGGGAGCTGGGCTCCAACACTGGAGCCCTACATTTGGGCACTGTACCGGAGCCCCACATTTGGGCACTGCAGCCCCTCCATCTCCTCCTGCCCCTTCCCACGGGGAAGCTCTGCTGTTCCTGTTGTCCTTCCCAGAGAGCACAGGGAAGGACAGACCCTCTCTCAACAGGTACTGCCGTACCCTTTGCATCTCTGATATTTCTCTAACCTGCATCATTGGACAGGGAAAGAGGAGCCGTGGTGCTCTGGGGACACTAGGATGGAGTTTACAGCACTGGAGAAAAAAACACTCCTGGGTCAGGGTGTCCTGGGCTGTACTGGGAGCAGTGTCAGCTGCTGGAGGTTGGGGACCCTTCCCCTCTGCTCTGCACTGCTGAGGCAGTGTGGAGTGCTGGAGTGCTGGGCCCAGAGCTGGGCTGCCCAGTACAAAAGACTGCGACAGACTGGAGAGAGCCCAGCACAGGGCCATGAAGGTGATGGAGGGACTGGAGCATCTCTGCCATGAGGAGAGGCTGAGAGAGCTGGGACTGACCAGCCTGGAGCAGAGCAGGCTCAGGGGATCTCATCTGTGTGGATAAATACCCGGAGGGAGGGTGCAGAAAGGACGGGGCCAGGCTCTGCTCAGCAGTGCCCAGGGACAGACCCAGGGGCCATGGGCACGAACTGACACACAGGAGGGGCCCTCTGAGCATCAGGACACACTTTTCCACTGTGGACAGCTCTTCTAGATTGACCCAAAAGCAGGGTTATTTGCTTAAGTTGATGTTCCCCTGCCCCAAACAACCACTTCTGAAATTAAATGTTGTTTTATTTCGATGCTATTTAATACCTTTGAAATTAGTCAGGTCAGGTTGACCTGCTGCCCACGCTACTTCTGATTCAGCCCAGGGTACAGCTGACTTTCTGGGCTGCCAGGGCAGTTGGCCAAATCACATCCAATTTGTCACCCACCAGGACCCCCAAGTCCCTCTCCCCAGGGCTGCTCTCAACCCACCCAGCCCCCAGCCTGTGCTGATGCTGGGGGTTGCCCTGACCCAGATACAGGACCTTGCACTTGGCCTGGTTGAACTGCATGAGGTTCACATGAGCCCAAGTAGTTTTGGAGTTTCACAGAATCATCAAGTCCCAGAGTGGTTTGGGCTGGAAGGGACCTTAAAGGTCATCTCATTCCACATCCCTGCCATGGGCAGGGACACCTTCCACTAAACAGGGTTGCTCCAAGCCCCATCCAACCTGGCCTTGGACACTTCCAGGGATGGGGCAGCCACAGCTTCTGTGCCAGTGGAACAGGTTTATTTACTCTTCCCATATGTACCCCAGTGTCCACTAACAAATTTCCTCTGCTTTGCTGCCTCAGGGTTGAAGGATGCCCTGTCCTGAGAGTCCTGTGGTGTCACCATGGCCGTTCCAGCAACAGGGCAGCTCAGACCCAACAGTTTTGGCAGCTGCTCAAGGCAGCACTTCTGAGACCCGCATGCTAGAGCCTGTGGCAGCTCCCAGCTGGGGCTGGCAGTGCCCACAGCTGGGATCAGCCACCGCGTCCATCCCACTCGCGGCACTGCGAGAACCTGGGCTGGTCACACAAGGTGATCTCCTGGGATCAGTGGGGCTGAACATCCCTCCTGTATGCAGCTACCCCCAGAAGACAGTCTGCCCACAGCTCCAGCATCAGCCTGCCTGCCCCAAAGTGACATCTGCATTTCAGGGAAGGAGGATTTTATAAAGCATCCTTCCTCCCAGCAGCATGGAAATTTGCTCTGGAAGTGTTTTTTCCCTGGTGCAGCATGAAGTTAGGCAAGGAGCTTGGTATCCGTGGGCTGGTTTGGCACTGCTGCTGCAGAGCACGAGCCCTGTCCCTGGGGAGCTCCCTGGGAGAGTGCAGGTTCAGCCCTTCACATCTCTGTGTCCCTGACAATTTAGTTCCTTTTTCCTGGTGTTGGCAGTGCCTGCAAAATAGAAGGACTGAGACCAAGGAGAAGCTTTTCAGTCATGGGTTATCTCTCAGATGAGAGCATTACCTGGGGCCTGGCAGGTTTCTGACACCTCTGATCCTAGCAGCATGTGCCCACAGAGCTTGCACAGACCTCATCCAAGCTTTCTCAGCACTGGGAGCCTCTCTGCCATGCATTGTGCCCTCACCAGTTTTGTGGGTTTCTCATCACATTTCCTCCCCATTTTAAATAAAGAATGGCAGGAAACTCATCCCTCCCTCCAGATGGGCAGCCTTAAAGAAGCACTTTAAGACAGAAACTTCGGAAAGCAGAAGCACCCTTGTCAGGGTGGTGATAAATAACCAAATCAAGGGGACAAATCCCATCCCCATTTCTTACCCTCTCTGTCTCTTGCCCACCCCCTCCCCCCATCTTCTCAGGGTGACACAGAAGGGTGACCAAGCCCCTAGGACCCTGGATAAGCTGATGGAGGAAGCATGGCCAGCACTTTCCCAAGTGTCTCTCAGCCCACCCCGATGCTGGGGCTGAGCAGAGTGACTCTCATCCCACCAGCAAAGGCAGAAAATGATGCTCAAGCTGATTTTACACAGATTGGGAGCCATTTGTCTCTGAAAACTGGCTGTCCCACTGGAAGGGGCCCTGGCTGACAATGGTAGCAAGGTGGGGACATGTAGTGCCCAAACCAACCTCTGAAACGTGACAGGCAGCAGCACAGCATGGCACTGGTCATGAGGGAGCCACACACAGCACATCTCTATCACACCCATCGGGCTTTATACACCACTTCAGCTTCCTGAATCCCTCAGATATCAGGCTCTAAAGCAATAAAACAGCCAGGGAGGAGGAACAAAGCGGGGTTTCTTTCCTGAAGGAGGGGAGTGTGAGAGGAGAGAGGAGAGATGCTTTCTGTCTGTGTTATGGCCCTGAGATGGGGATCGCTTAGGCTCAAGACAGCCCAAATCCCTGCAGGCCAGTGGGGGATGCTCACCCCGGCCCCAGGGACCAATGGTGTGGTGGCTTTGAGGGGGTCAATGGCTGCTGGGGGGGGGG